ACCGGGAAATGCCAGGATATGTCACTTCTATCCTCCCTGTCGGGTCCCCAACCCTGCAGGGACACCAGGAGTGGAGTCACCCCCGGCTGCTCCCGCTGCCAGCAGACAAACCATTCCATCAGCATCCGCCGGCGCTGGAACGGATATGGAGTCACTGCCCTGACACAGACGCTTCCTGCCCCGAAAATAAAAGCTCCAGCCCTTTTTTGGGGGGGGAATTTTGCTTGGTTTTTTTGGTAAATGCCTCAGCGTTTCTGCAGCCCCACGTGCTGGGTGGGACCTGCCCTGCCGTGACCTCCCGGTGTCTGGGAATGTGTCAGGGGCTGCTTGGAGGGTTGGTTTGTACAGGCTGGAGTAGGGGAGGACCTTGGGTGAGATGGTATAATAGAAAAATAATCCATAAAATAATGTATTTTGTTAGTTATATATATATATATATATAATTGTATCTCCGTGGTGCAGGTATAAGTGATTGCTGGTCAGCTGTGTGTTAGAGTGAACATTGGTGTGGGGAATTGCTCAAACCCCACAAAGACAGGAGAAAATTGTGTATGGACCCTGCTCAGCCCCTGCCCCCACGTGCCTGGGGTAACTGGGGGTTGCTGGTTGTAACTGGGGGCTTCGGCCACAGGAATTGAATATATTGTGGTTGAATCACAGGGCTTGGCTGGGGTGGGAGTTGCTCCTTTGGCTTTTATTCAACAGACTTTCAGATTAAAGTGTCATTCAGGCACTGCACATCTCTCTTATCTACCTGTAGCAATTTCCAAGGCAAACAGCAGAGATCATGTTATCACCTGATAACACGGCCGGGTGAAAACCCAGAGAAGATAAATTCATATTTGGAGGCGGCTGGTCCCCGGGTTCATCACAGTTTGGACTAAAAGCTCATCAATCCAGTGATCAAAGGAGGTGTGCCACTGATCCAGGGTGGATTGTTCTATAAAAGCAGCCAGGAAATGAGGTTTTGGGACCTTCCATGGCTGGTTCAGCTGCAGAGTGAGCAGGACACCAACCCCGTCACTCCTGGTTACAGTTTTTGCTCTTTTCCCTCTTCTCGATGTGCTTCGCTGCTCATCTTTCCCCTGGCAATATTCTGTCCAGCTGTGATCCATCCTTGGCTGCAGCACATCCCTTATCTCCCTCCTGCTCTCCTTGCCTACAGTGACAGGGAGACACAGCAGGACCTGGGTGCAGGACGAAAACGTGACCAGGCTACTGAGGTTTCGCACAATGACCCCTAAAAATGGGCTTAATGGGCACAAATTCTGCCCACTGAGTCTGTTTCAAGCTAAAAATGAGTGTAAAATGAATGTTAAAGACAAGATTGGCTTTACCCAGAGCAGATGTTACGTCCTGGAAGGCTGGATGGGTGGCTGGGTGGGTGAGCAGAGAGAGGGATGGATGGATGGATGGAGGGATGGATGGAGGGAGGGATGGATGGATGGATGGAGGGATGGGTGGATGGATGGAGGGATGGGTGGATGGATGGAGGGATGGAGGGAGGGATGGATGGAGGGAGGGATGGATATGGATGGATGGATGGATGGATGGAGGGATGGATGGATGGATGGATGGATGGATGGATGGAGGGATGGAGGGATGGATGGAGGGAGGGATGGATATGGATGGATGGATGGATGGATGGAGGGATGGATGGAGGGATGGAGGGATGGACGGATGGACGGATGGGTGGATGGATGGATG